AATCATCAACGCACAGGAAGGACATTTCGTACCGAAAACAGCACCGTCTTTTCGATTAAGAGCTTTGAGAACAAAGCGGATATAATTAACTAGTGGCCTAACGCTGCCGCACATGCTTTAAGGGAAATTTTGAAATCCATATTAGATTTGCCATTTAGATCAGCTGACAGCAATTACGAATCAAGGTCAAAAACCAAATTTTCAGGCATATCGATTTTTCAAGCGTTAAAAATGCACGGTATTTCGCACGTGGATACTCTTCACAGAAAATAAATTCTTATGGCATTTCTTACATGTCGACAAATCGCTAAAAATCACCAATTTCTAAATGGCACGCAAATGATCGCAAAATAAATTGCTATATATGTTGAAATCTGGAATATGATTAAAATGAATGATCGAGAATCTTGAAACTGTAAGCATCCCTTCAGAAAATGTCTGAAAGACCTTGGATTCCAACTGTATATTACGGCGACGAAACTAATAGCTATCTTGAAAATCAAATCCGCAGCCAACGGTTCAGGCTGACAACATACCAGCAAAGAAGGAACCAAAAAATCTAGGTTGGTTGTGGATACTGTCAGCACCACAAAAAGTTAATTTTGACGTTGCATGCTGGAATGTTCGTTACTTGTCTGCAGAAGACAAAATTGACGATTTCTGCGATACGGTCCGCCGGAACAAACTGGTTGTCATAGAAGCTCGTCTTCTGGGCAAGGAGGTGCTTTACTTGCAAGACAGGTATTCATTCCGGTGCCTGCGCCATGCCAGGGCAACAAGTCCTGGAGAGGATCCGAATTGGTAGCGTTAACGAAAAGATAGACAGAGAGAGAGAGAGAGAGAGAGAGAGAGAGACAGACGTGAATGTCACTGTTTACTGCCACTTACGCCCAACCTATTTATATGGTTGCAGTCACAAATACTTATATTATGACTTCCAACAGTCAGCCGTTACCGGTTTCTCGTTCCATGAAGGCATAATATTTACAGGGAAACTCGAAGGCAACGTCCCCCCCTCCTCCCCACCATCATCGTACTCAGCTTTTGTGCTTAAAGCAGCTTAATCGTCGACGAAAACTCATTCCCTCATAAGCAAATCTACAAAACTACATGGACAATCCGTTGTTCTTCCCCAAAGGAGGAGTAAGGCTCCAAGCGGGCCTTGGCACTCTTTCGTCGCGAACCGCGAAGCTCCTTAGCTGAGACCTCCTCACAAAGAGCGCCTGCATTGGGCTCTAGCAATGACTTCGTCTAATGTTAGCCGAGTCACATCTACGTTGTCTCTTTACAGGGCACTGCCTCGAGAACCAACAGGCTAAAATATGCCGAGGCAGCGCGAATGGCCAATCAAACGAACGTAGACTGCCACTTCAATGTTCCACTTCGAGCCCAGTCAGGAAGTGTGAAACGTGATTAAGCTTACGAGCACTTCAACGATGGCGTCGTTTCTTCAACAACTAATGTAGTTTGGATCAGGAAGAAGAGAGCGAAACTCGAAGCATTACAGAAAAGATACCACCTTGCATTTTCAAGTGGTGAGGAAAGAATCTATGAACACTTGCAACATCGTACTGCTCCCTCGAAAGTAACTCATCGTCTCGCTCATGCAATCAACCAAAACTAGACGAACAAGACAAAGAAATTTGGCCGCATACAAAACCAAGAAGATTGAAATTGAAACCTGAAGACATGCTGCCGAACAGTGCTAAAAGTGGTGCGATATTGTCCGGCAAGCAAGAGTCTCGGTCTGCCCTCGTCCACTATAGGAAGAGTGCTGCCCAGTTGACAGATCAAAAGGAACGCTTCAAACGATGGACTGAGCACTTTTAGCAGCTGCTCAATAGCTATCTCACAGATTCGCCATTGCCGTCTATTGTCTGCCAAGTCTAGAGGTTAGTTCAGATCCACCCACAAAACGAAAAATCTAAAAAGACCTGCTAAACCTCAAGATGAAGAGGACCTGCAGTGTAGATCGAATTCGTTCAGAGTAAAATAAGCATGGAGGAATGGGAATGATGTAAAGGCTCCAAACCTTATTTCTTCTTATGTGGACTTGCAGATATTTTCCAGGAGAATGGATGTGTTGAGTCATTTCCCTTATATTAAATGAGGTGAGGGGGTAGTGCCACTAACTCTTCCAATTATCGTCTCCAGGTCTTGGTCGACTTCTTCTCCTTGTTCTCTCAGCCATTCAATCAATGTATCAGGGCGACTTTGGTCTACGACCCAGCCATCAGTGATAACATGGTCGTCGTGGAAGACTGAACCATCGACTTGTCCAGCATGATAACTGGATGGTGTTTATCATACAGCTTTCTCTTCAAGTAAAAAGCTACAATCTCACTCAGTTACTCATGTATGATCTTAGTGCCGTTGTTATGGCCTCGCAGGTACTTCCTGCTGGCAGACACCGAACAGACGGACGGATGTTGCTGAAATGACTCTCGCGTACAACGAAGCCGGATCAGTTCGATA